AGACACCTTAGCAAGATACTAAGAATGAAAGAGAATTTTACCCACTTTTTTTTTGATGGAGTATTGTTTTGTTGTACAGTTTTGACTTTTAAGATTTTTACTTCAATTTTGCATTTGTTTATATATAATCTCAGGAGAATATTGAACTTCTGATTTCCTGGTTGATATTAATAAAATAATAATTACAAAGGTTTTTTTTTTTTTTTTTAAAGAATGATAAGAGAACATGCAGTGTTTGCTACTATCCACTTGCCTCCCAAGTCTCCAGAACACCAAAATCCTAAACATATCTTACAAAATTGTCTGCTAGAACGTCCTACTTCTCAATGACTTCTTCAGCTTCAACCTCAATAATACACAGGCAAACAATTGATACAAACTCAAGGTAAACCGCTCCAAACTCGATTGCAGAAAATACGACTTCAGCAACAGAGTGGTCAATGCCTGGAATGTTGTTACATCCTCAAACACCCCACAACTTCAACTTTAAACTGTCTACTGTTGACCTCACCCCATTCCTAAGAGGTCCCTAAAGGGGGCGTGCATAAGCGCACCAGCGTGCCTATGTGTCCCCATCCTACTGTTCCCATTTATTTGCACTCATTTCCTTCATTCATGTCCATGTTCATATTTATACCTGATATCTTGTACATGTTTGACAAACTAATAAATAAATTTAATAAATAAATAAATAAATAAAATGCCAGCAAGATGTTGGCATCACTAGCAACTCTTCCTCACTATCCATTCCCCCACCCCATATGAAAATGGATCTACCACAAAGCCAACTGCCTTGCTTTCCATGTTTTATCATCCTCCCACAAATCCTTCAAAAGGTCCATAACTTCTCAGTTCTGCCCCTTTCAAGCTGGCTCCTTCTTTGATTAAAGTTACTTTCTACTTTGGATGAATAAGTGCATTAAATGCTGTTCACCACCAATGCACCCAATCAACCCATTCAATTCACAATCAGCTAAGTGCTTGAAATCCTGGATCTCCTTTGTTGAAACATTTATGGTTCCCAACCCCTAGAAATGACTTTAAAGACTGCATTTCTGAAGCATCCTCCCTAGTGAAGAAGCTTAGCAAACACTGTAGAACTCATAAATACTTATTAAACGTCATCATTCAGAACAGAGGAGATAAGGGGAACTTGAGAATAAGCCCTAGGATGGATCAGCCTAAGCCAAAATATGGTCCAATGTTCTGTTTTCCTAGTTGCCAACCAGATACAGAAAGTCTACAAGGAGGGCAACTGATCTGAGAAGCTCATTCTGATAGCATACTAACAGAATAATAGAGTTGGAAGGGACCTTGGAGGTCGTCTGCTCAAATAATTTGTTTGTATTGAGTTTTAAATTGTAAACCTCCACTCTCCAATTCTCTCTCCAATCTGGGGGCCTGACAACTCTTTTACATGATAGTTTTCATCACACAGAATACGGAAGAAAAGAATAGGAAGGGACTTTGGAGGTCTTCTAATCCAACCCCCTGCTCAAATGAAATACAAATGGTTTTCATATTGGAAGCCCCCAGTGATGAAGCACCCACAACCTCTGGAGGAGCAAGCCAGTGGAGGGATCATTAGTTTCTGTCAGGAAATGTCTCCTTAGTTCTAGGTTGGCTCTCTCTCCTAGATTAGTTTCCATCCGTTCCTTCTTGTCCGACAAGGTTATTATGCAAATCTAATCATCATCATCATCACCATCATCGTCATGGTTTAATGACCCCTTAATCCCTTGTGGGGTGGACCCTGTGCAACTGAATGGAGCTAGCAGAGTCTTTACTGGCCAGATGCCCTTCCTGTCACTAGTGCAGAGTTGTGTTCAGCAGATATATTCTCATTGTGCCCAGAGAGAGAAATATCTGTCTCTACCTTCAGCCTCCTGATTGTGAGATTCTAATGCACCCCTATTTTCTTGCATTAGGATTAGCCCAAAGAGCATATCTTTAGAATACCAGAAACGCACCGAAGGCTTTTTGGTAATGAAGAGAGAATCCAATAATCTGCTCACTGTTGAACTCCGGCCTTTCCCAGGAAACCAAGACGGTGGTGCTGGAGAGAGAACTTGCGGATACCCTCTTTGGAGCGCTGGGCAGGCCTTCCCGCACGATGACCTCTAGCCTGGCCGTAGCACAGGCCATGCCAAGGTGATTTTCAGCCACGCACTGGTAATATCCCGCGTCGTCCAAGCCGATCTGGTTGATCACGAGGGTACCGCTGCCCTGGATTTTAACCCGTCCTTTAGACAGTAACAGCTTCCTGTTCCTCATCCAGTGTATGGCGGGCAGCGGCTCTCCTTCTGCTTTGCACACAAACCTGGCGGTGCTGGCCCGGGTGCGAGAAATGGTTTCAGGTGCCTGAGCAATTGTAGGAGGAGCTAAGGGGTTGAAAAAAAATGCACCAAATGAGCATGACCAGATGTGGTATTCTACGGGTTTGAACCAGTAGCAGAAAATCATGGTTGGCCCCACCCACTTGCCCCAACTCTATGGCATCCCACTTAGGCCCTTTTTTTGCCAAAAGTGCATGCGTGGAAGGCTGTGCGTACTTGCGCACTCACATTTGCAAACTGGTAGGGAAGGTAAGTCAATACTACCCCTGAGCACGGCGGTTGAGGAGGGAACAAAAGGGGATGTGTGAAGCCATTTGTGAAGATGGATGAAAGCGAGATAATTGGCGAGAAGCGTAGACTGACACACTGCCTAAGTTCACACAACCCACTTCTCCATTAAATGAATCCCCTCCTTTGCCAGGGACACCTACTATTCCCTATCAACCATAAACCAACTCAAGAGGCGAGTTCACACAAGCTTGGCCACCTAAAAAAGGAAACTAAAATCAAAGCTGGAAGCTTTGAGAATACTGTTGTAGGGTTAACTCAGGGCAACTGGGCCAAAGTGTGTTAATCTGAGATGTTTCATTACTCATCCAAGTAACTTCATCAGTCAAAGTATTAATAAAAATTAGTTTGGCAGAGAGTTGTTGGAAGGTACTAAACTCTTGTACTGAATTTATATTTACCTACAAAGAAATAAAGGCAGACTAGTATAGATCTATTTCAAGCTATTTAGCTCTCGTCAGCTAGCCATACCCTTCTGGGATTCAAACCCGGGCTGCTTGCATATTAGGTAAATGTATTAACATCTAAGCCACAGGTTCTCCTTGCTTTGTCAGCTATACCAGGGGAGAGATTAAGTGTTTTTTCTACCTGGTCTACCCAAATACGGGATGGAACATAGTTCTTCCACTTTCCCATATTTGAGAAATCTTGAAAGATCTGGAGTCAGTGAAAGAACAAATCTGCTCTTGCAGGACTGTTTGCAAACAACTGATCCTCCTTGTGAAGACCCACAAAATAAAAAAAACCAAGCCAACTTAGCTGCTGCACAGAAATGTTGTTTTTTTGTGTTCTCACCAAGGACTTGGAGCTCAGCTGCAGCTGTTACAAACTGCCTGGTTTGGGGTTTGTTGGCCCGGCATACATAGACTCCTGCATGATGAAGCTGAACGGAAAGGATCACGAGGTTGGTCCGTCCTAACACAATCACATCTGTAGAAATCGGATTCCCATCTTTAAAGAAAAAGCAGAGCATCACATCTCTATGTGGAGTATCAAGTATAGGAGAAAAACATGCAGAGCTGGTGAGTGGGTGGCAGAATTAAGCATGTCATCAGTTTAGAATTATTGAGTTTGCAAAAGCCTTTGAAGTCCAACTCCTCCTGAATTTCATTGACTCCTTTCTGGTGCCAATTTAGTGTTGTATTTTAGGTGACAAGATTCTTTTTTTAATATTTTTTTTTTATTTTTAAATAAACAAGCACAGACAAACATAAAACCTAAAACCATCTTCCAGTTTCGTACAGTGTGTCGATTGGTTACAAAACTTTTCTGCATCCTCACCGTAGTCTTCACTTACAATTTATATAGAATCTCGTATTATCAATCTGATATACAGTATATGCATACAATTATTACCACGTTAAACTTTTATTTGACTTTAACTATTATTACTTCATTTTATGTGAGATTTTGCATAAAATGAAGCAATAATAGTGATAGTCAAATAAATGATTAACAATGATAATAAGTTATCATAAAATATAAGTTGATAAAATTGGATTTTATATAATTTATAAGTGAGGACTATGGAGGGGATGCACACAAGTTTTGTAA